GGTATTTTGATAGGGATTGCATTGAATTTATAGATTGATTTGGGTAATATGGACATTTTAATGATGTTAATTCTTCCAATCCATGAACAAGGTATGTGCTTCCACTTTTTTATATCTTCTTCTATTTCTTTTTTCAATGTCCTGTAGCTTTCTGCAAATAGGTCCTTTACTTCTTTGGTTAAGTTTATTCCTAGGCGTCTTAATTTTTTTTTTGCCGCAGTGGTAAGTGGGACTGTTTTTTCAGTTTCTCTTTCTGTGAGTTCATCATTGGTGTATAAGAATGCTGTCAATTTCTCAACATTAATATTGTATCCTGCTACCTTGCCAAATCCATTTATTGAGTCTAGTAGATTTCTGATGGAGTCTTTATGGTTTTCTATGCATAATATGTTATCTGCAAATAATGACAGTTTCACTTCTTCATTTCCAATTTGGATCCTTTTTATTTTTTCTTTCTGTCTGATTGCTGTGGCTAAGACTTCCAGTACTATGCTAAATTAGAGTGGCAAAAGTGGACATCCCTGTACTGTTCCTGTTCTTAAGGGAAATGCTTTTAGTTTCTGCCCATTGAGTATGATGTTGGCTGTAGGTCTTTCATATATGGACTTTATTGTGTCAAAATACGATCACTCTATTCCCAAATTGCTGAATGTTTTATCAAAATGAGTGCTGGATTTTGGCAAATGCTTTTTCAGTGTCTATTGATATGATCATATGATTTTTATCGTTCATTTTGTTTTTGTGGTTTATCACATTTATTGACTGGCAAATATTGTACCAGCCTTGCATCCCTGATATGAATCCCAGTTGGTCATGGTAAATAATTTTTTTGATGTATTGCTGGATTCAATTTGCTAGTATTTTGTTCAGGATTTAGGCGTCTATGTTCATCAGGGATATTGGCCTGTAGTTTTCTTTCTTTGTAGTGTCTTTTTCTGGTTTTGGAATTAGAATTATGCTGGCCTCATAAAACAAGCTTGGAAGTCTTCCTTCTTCTTGAATTTTTTGAAATAGTTTGAGGAGAATGGGTGTTAGTTCTTTTTAGAATGTTCAGTAAACCTCCCCCTGAAGCCATCCAGGCCTGGGCTTTTGTTTGCTGGAAGAATCTTGATTACCTCTTCAATTTTCTTAGTTGTTATTGGTCTGTTCAAGTTTTCCATCTCTTACAGGTCCAGTTTTTGGAGACTGTGTGTTTCTAGAAATATGTCCATTTCACTTAGATTGTCGAATTTGTTGCCATATAATTGTTTCTAGTAGCTTTTAACCATCTTTTTTATTTCTGTGGTGTCAGTTGTTACTTCTCCTCTTTCATTTCTGATTTTGTGCATTTGGGTTCTCTCTCTTTGTTTCTTGGTGAGTCTAGCTAAGGGTCCATCAATCTTGTTTATCTTTTTGAAAAACCATCTATTTGTTACATTGATCCTTTAGATTGTTTTTTTTTTTTTTTTGTCCCTATGTCATTTATTTCTGCTCTGATCTTTACTATTTCCTTCCTTCTACTTGCTCTGGAGTTTTGTTTTTGTTTGCTTTCTAATGCTTTAACTTGTGAGGTTAGACAGTCAATTAGAAATTTTTCTTGTTTCTTGAGGTAGGCCTGTAGTGCTATGAACTTCCCTCTCAGAACTGCTTTTGCTGCATCCCGTAGATTTTGTGTTGTTATGTGTTCATTTTCATTGTTTTCCAGGAAGTTTTTAATTTTTTCCTTGGTTCCACGGTAACCCATTCATTCTTTAATAACATGCTATTTAGTGTCCATGTGTTCAAATGTCTTTGCATGTTTTTATTGCAATTTATTCCTAGTTTCATGCCATTGTGATCTCAGAAGATGCTTGATATGATTTCAATCTTCTTGAGCTTGGAGAGATTTAATCTGTGTCCTACATGTGGTCTATCTTTGAGAATGTCCCATGTGCACTTGAGAAGAATGTGAATTCTGTAGTTTTGGGATGTAATTCTCTGTAGATATCTATTAAATCCATTTGGTCTAGTGCTTCATTTAGAATCTCTGTTTCCTTGATAATTTTTTGTCTAGAGAATCTATTCAGTGGTGTCAACAGGGTGTTGAAGTCCCCTGATATGATTGTATTGTTGTCGATTTCTCCTTTGAAGTCCTCCAAAAGATTTTTAATATATTATGGTGCTTCTATATTGGGTGCATATAGATTAATCAAGATTATATCTTTCTGTTGGATAGATTCTTTCAATATTATGTAGTGGCCTTCTTTGTCTCTAGTTATGATCTTCATTTTGAAATCTATTTTATCAGATATAAGTATTGCTACCCCAGCTTTTTTTTTGCTTTCCATTTGCTTGAAAAAAAATTTTTCCATCCCTTTATTCTCAATCTATGTGAGTCTTTTGTTGTGAGGTGAGTCTCTTGTAAACAACATGCAGATGAGTCATGCTTTCTTATCCAATCAATTACTTTTTATTGGAGCATTCAGTCCATTTACATTTAAGGTGATTATTGACATATACTTATTTATTGCCATTTTTGTTTAGTTTGGTTATATTTTTCTTACTATTTATTCTCCTAATTATAGCAGTCCTTTTAACATTTTTTGCAGTGCTGGTTTGATGCTAATGTATTTGCTTAGCCTTTTCTTTTGTCTGGAAAGCTCTTTATTTGACCTTCTATTTTGAATGACAGCTTTGCTGGGTAGAGTAGTCTTGGATTAAGATCTTTGTTTTTCATGACCTTGATTACTTCATGCCATTCCCTTCTGGCCTGTAGTGTTTCTTGTGAGAAGTCAGCTGAGAGCCTTATGGGGTTTCCTTTGTAGGTAACCTGTTGCTTACCTCTTGCTGCTTTTATAATTCTCTTTTTGCTTTAATTTTTGGCATCTTAATTACTATGTGTCTTGGTGTGGGCCTGTTTGGGTTCTTCTTACTTGGGGCTCTCTGTGCTTCTTGAACTTGAATGTCTTCTTCCTTCAACAAATTAGCGAATTTTTTTGTCACTATGTCTTTGAATATATTCTCTAGCCCTTGCACATTTTCTTCTTCTTTGGCGACTCCTATGATGTGAATATTATTATGTTTCTAGTTGTCCCACAGTTCTCTTAAGCTGTCTTACTTTTTTAAATCATTTTTTCCTTTTGGTTTTCTAATTGGTTGATTTTTTCTACCCTGTCTTCTAATTCACTGATCCGGTCCTTAGCTTGCTCTACTCTGCTATTTAGACCTTCCAATGTGTTCTTTATTTCTGATATGTCATTCTTGATCTCTTCTTGGTGGTTTTTATTTCCAATTGGTTGATTTTCACCATCTCTATGTCCTTACTCATTCTGTTGAGCTTCCTCAAGATCATGGCTCTGAATTCTAGCTCTGATAACTTGCCTAACTGCTCCAGATTGATCTCTCCTTTGGTGGAGGTCTCTTGTTCTTTCATTTGGCTTTTGTTTCTGTGTTTCACCATTTTGGCTATCATAGTTGGCATTGGAGCCTGCCAAGTTTTCTCTGTCGGTGTTGGTGTTCTGCTGTTTGGGGCTCCCTCTCTTGGGTTTAGATAAATGAGGGAGGAACCACATTAAACACCTCCATCAAGTCTTACTTTCATGGTTAGAGTTGCTAGCCCAGGAATGGTACTGTTATCCTCTGGCATTTGCCTGCAGGCTATCAGTTGAGGTTACTTGAAGAGTTTTGAGTTGTCAGTTGATTGAAAAACTCCCTCAGGTGCTCAGCATAAGGGGATTTCCTGAGGGTTGGGCAGATGCTGGTTGTGAGTGAGCCTCAATTCACATTTCAGTTGCCCACAGGGTGGGGTTGAATCTCCGAGGGAGGGGCTGCTTCTGTTCCCTAGAGCTTTGGAAGGAGCAAGATGGCCACCGTCCTACCTGGCTGCAACTCAGCAAAAGCTCTGAGTGCCCTCCACATCCCATGTGTCCCCACACAGTTCCAGTCCAGTCTGGCTTCCTTCTGCTGGAGCCCAAAGTGAGTGGCTGTGGCTATTTTAGCCTCTGTCCCAGCTCTGGGCTGTGGAGTCGCTTGGGACTTTAACCCTAGGGCAGAGCTCACAGCTAAGGCCGCTGCTGTCTGTGGGCTCCCAGCCCCTCTCTCACACCTTCGCAATCCTACCAGGGTCGAGTCAGTGTCCTTGGTTATATGGTCCTCGCAAGCTGCTTTTCTATTGCTTTTTCCTGTCAATTTGTCTGTGTTTTGGTTGTAATTCCAGTGTGGTCCTGGGAGATGGTGCGTGTTACTTCCATTCACTCTGCCTCCATTTTGGAATTTTCATGGCTGCTTCTATAATTTCATAGTTGTAGGACTTCCATTTAGCTCCATTTTGGGTGGTTCTGAATGATGGTTGTGTTGTAGTTCAGTTGTAATTTTGACGTGGTTGTGGGAGGAGGCAATGTCATGTTTATCTCTGCCGCCATCTTGACCGGAAGTTTTAAAATCATGTTTTTCATAAATTAATCCAAGTACTCTCCTATTATCATCTGATAGTTCTCATTATACCTGCTCCATCCACAAATTTGCAAATTCCAATTGAACTCAAAATGTCTAAATGGCTTTTAGTTTCTAGGATTGTTGTCAGACAGCATTTTGTTTGTTGTTTCTTTCATCAAATGGGTCAATGGCCTGCCAAGTTAATTAATGTGTTTGGTCTACATAAGACGACTTCTAATAATTTTAAATCACTTTTATATTCAAGAAGAGTATTTATAACATGCCTCAATTTGTATATCATGTGAAAGAGAAGGTGTGGACCAGTGGTTCTTAAATTTGACCCTGCATCAGAATCACCTAGAGATATTGTTAAAACAGACTGTTGGGCCAACCCTTAGAGTTTCTGATTCAGTAGGTTGGAGGTGAGACCTGAGAATTTGCATCTTGAACAAATTGTTGGGTGATGCTAATTTTGCTGTTCTGAGGGCCACACATTTGGATTCTCTGTTATAAATATATTTTAATCTTGTTGTAATTTTATTCTAATTTATGGACTGGTCTGTATATTAAGAAAAATAGCACATATGTGAATGTGAGAATCCCTGGTATTAATTGTACCTGTCCATAATCTTTTTGATAATAGTCATCACCCATTCAGCCTCAGGATCCAAACAAATTAATTTCCCGCTTTTCAATGTGGCTCTGAAAAAAAAAAAAGAATGTTTTACTTTAATAATTGTACCTAACTATGCTTTAAATGTATTCATTAGGATTTCTGCAACAGTTAATGCATATGCTTAAAATGAACACATGGTTTTCTCAAAATATATTTATCATATTATTATAAAATGACTTTTAGTCATATCAATATGCACAACTAAATTATTTTAATCAACAAAAGAATAACATCTTTTCTAAGAGACTTTTTAGATATCAATTAATCTGCAAACATTTGTCTTAGGATGTACAAGGCACAGTGCTAGACTCTGAAAAATCTACATAAGTATAATATCTTTCAGGCTGCCAGTTATCAACCACTTATTATATATTTTATAATCATATCTATGCTAATTTTGTTGTTTTTAGGTCCTTGGTTTGCCTCTTTTATTACTGGGAGAGACAGGGAGAGCATAAATTGCTTCTTTAAATTAATTCTATAGTTTTCAATTTCACTTTACAGAACCACAAAGTGCCAGTCCTTTGAAGTTCATTACATGAGGAGCAGATCATCTTATTATACTCTGAGCTGGGGTATGCATTTCAGAGTTTAAGTAAATAATACAGTTAAATATCTAATAAAAATATATTGATAATAGAATAATAATAACTCTTAGCAAATTATCAATACAAGGATAGTCACAAAACATCATGCATAATGGTGAAACCTTGAAAGTATTACTTTTGTATGCAGAAACAAGACAAGGATGCCTGTTATTACCATAGCCATCTCAGCCAAGTTAGAAAGATGAATAAAAAGTATAAGGTTTTCAAAAGAGGAAAACTAAACTACCATTATTCCCAGAAGATGTGACTATCCAAGTAAAGAGTTGATGGTTATAAAAGCAATAAAAATTGTATTTCTCAATACAGAACAGCTGGAATGTAAAACTTTATAAAGCTATTCTTTATAATAATATCAACTAATATGAAGTGAATAGAAATGAGTTTTTAATAATAAAAAATAAATAAAAGGTTTTTGTAGAGAAAATTATACAACTTTGAAGACATTACAGAATGCCTCAATAAATTGGGAACTATTCCATATTCTTGAAATAGAAAACTCAGAATCATAAAGATGTCAATAATTCATCAATTAATTTATAATTTCAAAGAAATTTCACTCAAAATTATAATTTAATTTGTAAGCTGCTTCTAAGACTTATATGGAAGAGCAAAAATCTAAGAAAAGAAAAGTTACTCTGAAAATGGGAGAATTTTTCTTTCCTGATATTAAGAATTATTATAAGATAATAATAAAGATGGTGTACAAGTAAAAAAAAAAAATTGATCAATGGGGCAGAATAAAGAGGTCAGAAACATCCTACACATTGGGAGAACTCAATTTATAGCAGAAGTGGCATTGGAGATCAGTGGGGAAATTATGATATTTTAATAAATAGTGCTAGAACTATTGATGAACCATATAGAATAATAAAATATAATTGAATAATTCCCTCACATTATATAAAAAAATTAATTCTGGGTGGATTAAAATTTAAATACAAAAGAAAAAACTGTAAAATTTTTAGGAGCCAAAAATAGAAGTATATTTTTATAAACTCTGTGAAGGAAAATTTTTTTGAAACAAGGCACTAAAACTGCTAACCAGAAAAGAGCATATTGCTAAACTCATATATATTAAAAGTAAAAACTTGTGTTAAGTAAAAAGACACCATATCAAGAATAAAAATATGAGTCCCAAATTGGAAAATCAGCTTTCCTATCTGTAAATCTGACAAGGAATTAATATTCAGATTATGCACAAAGAAAAAAGGGGGGGGGGGATCAATAGGGAAAGGATACTTTCCAAATAAGAAAAGAGGCAAAGAAATTAATAGTAATTTCACAAAAGAGGGAACACAAATGTTCATAAACATATAGAAAGAATTTCAACCTCATTTATAATAGAGAAATAAAAATTAAAAAAAATAAAAGATAACAATTTATACCCATCACGTTGAGAAGACCAGTAATTGGCCAGTTTGTGAAGCAACAGACGATTAAATATAGAAAGGAGTGTCAGTTGGTACAATTACTTTGTAACAGTATGGCATTACCTAGTAAGGTTAAAGATATGCACATCCTAAACTCAGCAAATAATTTCTAGATATACTCTCATGTGCATGATCAGGAGACATATAAAGAATATTGATACTAGTAAAAGTCTAGATAGAACCAAAATGTGTTCCAATGGTGCATTGGATAAAACAATTTTGTATTTATTTACTTAATATTCCTACAGTGGAATACTAAATATCACATTGAATTAACTATAGTTAAACACATCAAAATGTGTGTATTGATGAATATAATGTTGAAAAATAGAAGCAAGTCACAAAACAATATATTCAGTGTGATTCCATTGACCTGAAGTTCAAAAGCAGGCTAAGTCCATTCCAGCTGCTATAACAAAAATATTGGTTTAAACAACAAACATTAATTTCTCAATTCTAGAATTTGGGAAGTTCAAGATCAAAGTGCAGGCATGTTTGGTGTTTGATGAGGATCCACTTCTTGGTTCATAGGTTACTATCTTCTTGTTGTGTCTTCCCATTGCAGAAGGGTAAGAGAGCTCTCTGGGTCCTCTTTATGAGGGCACTAATCCCATTTATGAGGGTTCCGCCTTCATGACCTAATCACCTCCCAAAGGCTACTAATGTCATCACATTATAGGTTAAAATTTTAACATGTGGCCCTGGCCAGTTTGGCTCAGCTGTTAGAGCCTTGGCCTGCAGTCCGGAGAGACCCGGGTTCGGTTCCCGCTAAGGGCACGTACTTCGGTTGCAGTTTGTCCCCAGCCCTGGTTGGTCGTGCGGGTGGCAGCCACTCGATGTGTCCCTTCACGTTGATGTTTCTCTCTCTCTCTCCCTTCCTCTCTCTCCCTTCCTCTCTCTCCCTCCCACTCTATCTGTACAAAAAATGGAAAAATATCCTTGGGTGAGGATAAAAAAAAAAAAAAAAAAAATTTAACATGTGAACCTGGGGTGTGGAAACACATTCTGTCCACAACACAGACAAAATAAATAATAATTGATTTATGTTTTATACATTGGTGTTAAAACAATATTTAAAAAACAAGAAATATCACAGTTTAAAATGGTAGTTACTTCCTGGAGTGGGGTGGGTATAATTTGAGAGTTGTATGAGTTTACTGTACATAACATGTAACACAGACTGGGTGTCTTAACAAAAACAGAAATTTGTTTTCTCACAGTTATGGAGTCTAGAAGTTCAAGATCAAGGTGTCGGCAGATTTGGTTTCTTCTCAGACCTCTCACCTTGACTTGCAGATGGTTGTTTTCTGTGTCCTCTTAGGGCCTTTTCGCTGTGTACACACATTCCTGGTGTCTCTCCCTCTTCTTAAAATGACACCAGTCATATTGAATTAGGCTCCACCCTCATGACCTCATTTAATCTTAATTACCTCTTTAGAGGCCCTAACCCCAAACAGTCACATTCTGATGTATTGAAGGTTGGGACGTCCACATAAAAATTTATGGTGGACACAATCCAGCCCCTAACAGGAGTGTCACACATGGAGTTTTCTGATGTACTAATTATGTTCTAGAGTTTGGCCTTGGTAGCAAGTGTGCAGGTGTTTACAATTGCTCTTTCAACTGTACAGATATCTGTTCATACACTCTTTTGCATGTGTGCTTAAGTAAAATCCTAAGAAGGCCCACCAAGTTTCATTCCCTAATCTCCAGGAGTGTGAACATGATGAGATATTAAAACCATGATTATGTCACATTACACAGCCAAAGGGAATTTTGAAATGTAGTTAAGGTTACTAATCAGTTGAGTAAATTAAACCAAAGAATGCTTTTTTAAGTGAGCCTACTGCATGATCCCTAAAAGCAGGGAGTTGTCTCTGCTGGTAGCAGAAGAGGAAGTGAAAGAAATTTAAAGCGTGAGATAAATTTGAGAGACAGATTCAAAAGCAGCTTCTAGGAGCTGAGAGCAACCCTGAGCCGAGAATATAGATTCTTAGTCCTACAACTGCAAATAATTGAATTCAGACAATGTAAATAATCTTGGAAATGGATTCCTCTCCAGAGCCTCCAGACAGGACTTCAGCTCAGCTGACACCTTGACTTTAGTCCTTTATGAAACCCTAAACGTTTTCACCACAAAATAAACAAATAGACAAACAAAAAACAATAATTTTATGACATGATAGAGGTGTTAGCTAACATTCCAGCCACCTAGACCGTTGACCTACAGAACACTGAGATAATAAATCTATTTATTTTCAGTCACTAAGTCATGGTAATGTGTTACTAAGCAATGCACAACTAAAACAGTATGTGTGATCTAGTTCACAATAAAAAAAGTTTCAATAAAATGCAGAAGTGTTTCTTATAGCCTCTAACCTCTGTATTTGTAGGCTGATACTTCAGAAAGGTGGTCAAGTCAGTCTCCTGAGCCATTAAATCATAATGAACTTATGTGTTCCAGTTAAGTATAGAGATTTTCAGACAATGAAGAATTATCCATGTATCCTTACAGAGGACCATGCATCTTTACTTATTGTACATGCTCATTGACTTCAAAGTCCACTCAGAAGAATCCATACCATAATCATATTCTCATTTGAGAGTTTTTTGTTTTTGGAGAGGGTATGATGTCTTTAGAAATGAGATCATAAACACTGGACAATTACCTTCCCACACTGTGCAGGGGTAATTCTCAGAGCCTGGTTGTCTATACTCTAAATTTAGTACATTTGTAAGCAAAGGCCAACTTTGAGAAGCACACTACTAGAAAAGGCCCAAATAGACATATTTTCCAAAGATATATGCACAGCCAACAGACACAAAAAGGTGCTCAACATCATGCCATTAGGGAAATGCAGATCAAAACCACAATGAGCTATTCAGTCATACCTGTTAGAATGGTTATCATTCAAAAGATCAGAGATAACAACTGCTGGGAAGAATGTGGAGAAAAGGGAACACTTGTGCTCTGCTGGTGGGATTGTAAACTGGTACAGCCACTATGGAAAACAGTATGGAGGGTCTTCAAAATATTACAAATAAAACTATATATATATTTTATATATAAAAATTGATAAGAGAGTAGATCTTAAGAACTCTCATCACAAGGAAAAAAGAAAAGTTCAATATTAGAGGCTTCCATTCTCCCCCATATCTTCACTACTTACATAATTTCTTTTCTGCTGCAGTAGGCACCTTCAGGTATCAACTGAACCTTTGTAATGTATCTGGGAGAAATAAAGTCAGAGTATGTCTGAATACACTGACATCTCAACTCTTGGTTCTCACATGGATCAACTGTATAAGAAAAGATGAGCAAAACTTTGAGTAAGAACAAAAACAATCATGATGCTTAATTCTCTACCTGAAATTTGAAATCAGTGCAGTAGGACACTCAACACACAGAATAAGTTCTGATAGAAATATTTAGGGAGACAATCAAACAAATGTAATCATCTGCTATTTTGAGGATCAGTGAGCATTTATTGAACATCTACTATGTTTTAGAAACTGGTAATTATACTAGATCAATAATTAATTGCTTAAAAGTATCTATGGTAAATAAGATAACTTATTTGAAGGTAAAGTCAATTTGATTTTCTTTTAAAAAAGATGTAAACATAAATATTTTGTGTGAATTCTATCAGTTGAAAATAATGATTTCTATTGCCTACCATCATTAATATAAACACTCTAAACTTATTTGCAGTAATGTTCCTGCTATCGTCTCTAATAAGAAAAGCACATGCCCTGGCCGGTTTGGCTCAGCGGTTAGAGCATCAGCCTGTGGTCCAGAGAGACATGGGTTCGGTTCCTGCTAAGGGCATGTACCTCAGTTAGTTTGTCCCTGGCCCTTGTTGGTCATGCGGGTGGCAGCCACTCGATGTGTCTTTTTCACGTTGATGTTTCTCTCTCTCTCTCTCTCTCTCTCTTCCTCTCTCTCCCTCCCACTCTATCTGAACAAAAAATGGAAAAATGTCCTCGGGTGAGGATAAAAGAAAAAAAAAAAAAGAAAAAAGAAAAGCACAGGCCATTACAGTCAGATATTTCTAGGAAGCTAAAAACATTTCTTAATATTAATTTAAGACTTTTTTTTTTTACACTCTGCAATCTAAATATATGTTTGCTAGGCATTAATTTCACAGTTTCTACATTTTGCCTAATGCCAAATACAATCTCAATAGATCTGGAATATTTTCTGAATTTTTCTAGTGCTGAGAAGGAAAAGATAAAAGGCATTGTTGGCTTACCAAGGAGACCAAGGACAAGGGCAGCCAGAAGTAGAACTGTCAGAAAGCTCTCAGCAGCCATATCTATGCTTGACCTTGGTCCTTGTCTGAATGGTGGAATCAACACTACAGCCCTCTTTTATGTGTTCTCCATAGCCCTGGGAATTTTCTGTTGTTCTTGCATTCTTTCTTCCCATTGAAGAGTGAAAGGAGCATTTATCAAATGTCATGTTTGTCATTTACAAGCCAAAAAGGAAGCTGTGTTTGTTTTCCAAGCTTTAATTTGAGACTTGGAGCAGGATGAGGTCAATTTGTTGAATAGAAAAATGAACCTATTATTTCCTGAGGGTGCTGAAACTTTGTAATTGTGAAGGGTTCAGTTCTAGTTGTAGTTTATGGTGACTTACAAGAATGGCATCACAAAAACGTCTATATCTCTTTTGAAAGGTTATATTTGTACAAAGTAGGAAATCAATATGCTTTTTTTCAGCAAGTATTTGCTTTGGGATTTTATGCTTATTTGCATAACCCAACTTAGGGTCATAATAGAATCTGTCAAGCTCTAACTATACTTATGGTATAGATAACCTACAATAACCCTTGTCCTCCGAAGAACAGTTCACTTTCAGTTTGAAACTGAATTATCTTTCTTAAAATTTACTTTTTTGGCAAACTAAACTAAACTAAAATAAAATGGCGGCAGAGTGAATGGAAGCCTCATAGACGATCTCCCAGGACCAAAGTGGAATTACAACTAAAATAAAGACAAATCATAGGAAGAAAACAACAGAAAAGCAGCTGGAGAGGACTATATAATGAGGGACACTGAATCGAGTCTGGTAGGTCTGTGGAGGCTTAAGAGGGCAGTGGGCTGGGAGTCTATGGACAGCAGTGTTCTTAGCTGTGAGCAGCACCCTCAGGGTTAAAATCTGAAGCCAGCTCCACAGTGCAGAGGACCAAAACAGAGCATTAAATTAGCCATAGCCATTCATCTTGGGCTCCAGCAGAGGGAGGGCAGACCGGAATGGAACTTTGTGGAGACACCCAGAGTTTGGAGAGCACTCAGAGTTTTTGCTGAGTTGGGGCCACACAGGACAGTGAACAGCTTATTCCTTCCTGGAGCTCTGGGGAGAAGCAGCAGCTCCTCCCTCAGAGATTAAACCCCACACAGGTGAGCCAAGGAAATGCAAATTCAGGCTCATTAATGAACAACAACTGCCCACCCTGTGGAGATCCTTTTATACTGAACACCTGAGGTAGTTTTTCATGCAGCTGAGGACTACAACACAAGGGCCTGAGTAACTGAGACTAATAGCCTCTAGGCAAAAAGGTAGAGGATAACCGAACCTTTCCTGGGATTGCAAATCTACCCAGGAAAGTAAGACTTGACAGTGGTGTTTAACATTGGGTCCTCCCACACTCATCCAAACCCAGTAGAGGAAGCCACAAACAGCAGAACACCAATACCCACAAGGGAAAATTTGGCAGGTACCAAAACCCACTGAGATAGCCAGAATGGTGAAACAAAGAAACAGATCCCAAATGAAAGAACAAGAGATGTCTACCGAAGATTAGATAAATGAAATGTAGCCAAGCAAGTTATTAGAGTTCAGAGCCATGATCTTGAGGAAGCTCAACAGCATGAGTAAGGACATCAAAACCATGCATAAATATATTGAAACATTGAAAATCAACCAAATGAAAATGAAGAATGACATAGCAGATATTGTTGTAACCCAGGAGAATCAACCTCACTCAGACACAAAGTAATTTTGAATATTAGGAGCTTTATTACCTGCGCAGGGACTGCAGCCAACCTACACAGAGAACTGCAGCCCCGAGCTCAGGGGGAGGGTTGCTTATGTAGGACAGGGGTTACTCAAGAGTTTAGCAGAGCAAGCAAGCTACATGTACAGAAGCAGATATCAGCAGTTAGTAACTGCACAAGTTGTTTATTTTATATTTCTTAACATTTACTAGACCCTAGCCTTGAGTGTCTCATTGCCCTGTCTGGCATCTCCTGATTAGTTAAGTTCATGGTCAATACCCTTGTGGTCATGGCTGATGCATACCTTCCTCTTCAAGAATTTTTGCAAAAACAACTCGGGTTCAAGGAACCCAGGAGAGGTTCCTTCTTCTAGCAGGTGGAGAATTACTGGATTATAACAGATATAAAGAACACATTGGAAGGACTAACCAGCAGAGTAGAGGAAGATAAGGATCAGATCACTTAATTAGAAGACAGGGTAGAAAAAAAATCAACCATTCAGAAAACAAACAAACAACCAAAAATTAAAAAACAAGACAGCATAAGACTACTGTGGAACAACTGGAAACGTAATAACATTCGACCCATAGGAGTTCCCAAACAAGAAGAAAAAGAGCAAGGGATAGAGAATATATTTGAAGAAATAGAGATAGAAAACTTGGTGAAGGAAGAAGGCATTCAAATTCAAGAAGCACAGAGCGCCCCAAGTAAGAAGAACCCAAACAAGCCCACACCAAGACACATAGTAATCAAAATGCCAAAAATTAAAGACAAAGAGAGAATCCTAAAGGCAACCAAAGATAAGCAATAGGTTACCTACAAAGGAACCCCCATAAGGTTCTCAGCTGACTTCTCATAAGTAACACTATAGGCCAGAAGGGAATGGCATGAGGCAATCAAGGTCATAAAAAAACAGGGATATGAATCCAAGACTACTCTACCCGGCAAAGCTATTATTCATAATAGAAGGTCAAATAAAAAGCTTCCCAGACAAAAAAAAAAAAAAAAAGGCTAAGGGAATATATTAGCGCCAAACCAGAACTGCCAGAAATGTTAAAAAGGACTGTTATAATTAGCAGGAGAAATAGAAAAAAAAAAAAAAATAGAACCAAACTAAACATAAATGGCAATAAATAAGTACATATCAATAATCACCTTAAATGTAAATGGATTGAATGTTTCCATTGAAAGACACAGAGTAGCTGACTGGATAAGAAAGCATGACTCACATATATGTTGTTTACAAGAGACCCACCTCACAACAAAGGACTCACATAGGTTGAAAGTGAAGAGATGGAAAAAAATCTTCCAAGCAAACAGAAAAGAATAAAAAGCTGGCATAGCAATACTCATATCTGATAAAATAGATTTCAAAATGAAGGCCATAACGAGAGACAAAGAAGACCACTACATAATATTGAAAGGATCTATCCAACAGGAAGATATAACCTTGATAAACATATATGCACCGAATATAGGAGCACCAAAATATATTAAAAATCTTCTGGAGGACTTCAAAGGAGAAATCGGCAGCAATACAATCATAGCAGGGGACTTCGACACCTAGTTGACAGCACTGGATAGATCCTCTAGACAAAACATTAGCTAGGAAACAGAGACTGTAAATGAAGCACTAGACCAAATGGATTTAATAGACATCTACAGAGAATTACACCCTAAAACTACAGAATTCACATTCTTCTCAGGTGCACATGGAACATTCTCAAAACTAGACCACATGATAAAACACAAAATAAGTCTCTACAAGTTCAAGAAGATTGAAATCATATCAAGCATATTCTCAGATCACAATGGCATGAAACTAAAAATTAATCGCAACAAGAACATGCAAAGACATTTGAACACATGGAGGCTAAATAGCATGTTATTAAACAATGAATGGGTTACCTAAGAGATCAAGGAAGAAATAAAAAACTTCCTGGAAATCAGTGAAAATGAACACACAACAACACAAAATCTATGGGATGCAGCGAAAGCAGTTCTGAGAGGGAAGTTCATAGCACTACAGGCCTACCACAAGAGACAAGAAAAATCTCTAATAGACTATCTAACCTCACAACTTAAGGAACTAGAAAGCAAACAAAAAGAAAACCCCAGAGCAAGTAGAAGGAAGGAAATAGTAAAGATCAGAACAGAAATAAATGACATAGAAACCAAAAAAACAATTCAAAGAATCAATGAAACAAAAAGCTGGTTTTTCTAGAAGATAAACAAGATTGTTGGACACCTAGCTAGACTCACCAAGAAACAAAGGGAGAGAACCCAAATGCACAAGATCAGAAATGAAAGAGAAGTAACAACAGACACCACAGAAATGCAAAAGATGGTTAACAACTACAATGAACAATTATATGGCAACAATTTCGACAATCTATGCAAAATGGAAAAATTTTCAGAAACACATACTCTCCCAAAACTGGACTGGAAAGACATAGAAAACTTGAACAGACCCATAACAACTAAGAAAATTGAAGATGTAATCAAGACGCTCCCAGCAAACAAAACCCCAGGCCCGGAAGGCTTCATGGGGGAGTTTTACCAAACATTCAAGAAAGAACTAACACCCATTCTCCTCAAACTATTTCAAAAAATTCGAGAAGAAGGACAACTTCCAAATTTGTTCTATGAGGCCAGCATAATTCTAATTCCAAAACCAGAAGAGGACATTACAAAGAAAGAAAACTATAGGCCAACATCCCTGATGAACATAGAGGCCAAAATCCTGAACAAAATACTAGCAAATCGGATCCAGCAATACATCAGAAAAAATTATTCACCATGACCGAATGGCATTCATCCCAGGGATGCAGGGCTGGTACAATATTCGCAAATCAATAAATGTGACACACCACATAAATAAAATGAAGAATAAAAACCACATGATCATATCAATAGATGTTGAAAAATCCTTTGAGCAAATCGAGCATCCATTTCTGATAAAAATGCTCAGCAATCTGTGAATAGAGGGATCATATTTCAACATAATAATGTCCATATATAAAAGATCTACAGTCAACATCATACTCAATGGGTAAAAACTAAAAGCATTTCCCTTAAGAACAGGAACAAGACAGGGATGCCCACTTTTACCACTCTTATTTAACATAGTACTAGAAGTCTTAGCCACAGCAATCAGACAGGAAGAAAAAATAAAAGGGATCCAAATTGGGAAGGAGGAAGTGAAACTGTCATTATTCACAGATGTCATGATACTATATGTAGAAAACCCCAAAGACTCCATAAAAAATTTACTAGAGTTAATAAATGAATTTGGCAAAGTAGCAGGATACAAT